ATATATAGCTCCTTAACACAGAACCATGAATCTAACCTAAATTTGTCTTATTTCATGATGAGTTCAAAATATATTAATAAAGGTAAGACAATTATGAGCTGATGAAGTTTCACAATTATTGTATGTCTACTAATATTTTACTTTGCAAATAGATGACAGTTATTTCTGAATGAGGGTAAAATGTTCTCAACAATATCTCTATTAAATTCAGGCAAAGAAAGTTCAGCAAAGGGCTTTAGGAGATTAAGGAGTGGAGCAGGAGGTTTGTCAACTAGTCGACTGCAGTTTAAATTTGGCACTTTTTACTCTTTGTTTCCACTCACTGATTAGTTTGTTTTTCACTCAGTTTCGGGGTTTGCATTCATTAGCACCAAAACACACTTTAAGGGTTGGGCTAAGATGTGGTTTGGGTTAATATATGACTATAAATATGAATATAAATGGAAATGAGAATGAGAAAAAGCTTGCTCACCTCACAGTCCCAATAACAACGGATGCACTACAGCACTTTTTATGTAATGTCCTAAGTGTGAAACTAATAAATAATAATAACATAGGGTAACCCTGTATCTGGAACATTAACTAACATCACACAAAGTCTTCACATTTTCTTGTTTTGATTTCCGTATGAGGAAATTGTTGTCAACAAACCATGTGTTGTCTACTGTAAACAGCCCACTGTAAGAAAACCAATATGAGAGTCAAACATAAAATACCATGAGTGTGTTGCTGGTGTTGTTTCATGTGTTTAAGCTTTGTAAATGGCATATTTCCATTGTGGTAGTGCAGTGAAACAGCACGACAATGAGGAGCCAATAAGATTGCTCGAAAAGTTGTCCCCTCCCATGCGATACGGTTAAATGTAGACAAATCCTTTCATAATGCAGCTTCAAACGTCTGCTGTGTCAAGAGGAAAAAAACAAAATGCTGACATTTTTTTATATACTGCTCCTGATCAGTATTGGGCGTAAGTATAGAAATCGTACTCACTGTACTGTCGCCGTTTATATTAATATAAAGGTTTATATGACTGTATCACTTTTGATGAGCATGATTCTGTTTGTCATTAATTTTCAGGATGCTCAGATCATCAGATCTTTGACACCAAAAATGTTGCTGTTGGACAAAATGTGACTCTAAATTGTTCCCGGGATCGTCGTTGGCTTTTAACAAACTTATTCTGGATCAGACTTGTTTCTCAGAGCTTTCCTGAAGTTTTAGGATCAACAATATCTCATGATTCTCCGACTATTGAAAACATTCATCACATTACAACAAAACAAGAGCCTGGAACTTTTGTTCTACATATCAACAGAGCACAGTTAAACGATACAGCTGTTTATTACTGCATCAAAGAAAGTCAGCGAACCATGACATTTTTGAAAGGAACTTTTTTTCGAGTCAAAGGTAAGTAAAACAGAAACAGCAACACTAATGCGCCAGGAATAGCAAAATTATTTGCAGTTCTTGTACTTTTGTTGCACAACTCACAGTTCCTAAATATGCTCTATTTTAATGTATTTGAATTGTTTTAAATTCAACATATTTAATGAAACATATTTATTTTTATTTCGTAGGACCTGACCCAGGCATCACTGGTGTCACTCAAGACTCTTTGTCTAATCCCGTCCATCCAGGAGAC